TCCAGGGGGAGGATGGGGGTATGCATCTCCCCTCCCTCCCCCTCCCCCCCATCAGAATCTGAAAGTCTTGAAAATATCATAGAAATTGAGGACCTTGTTTTTTGCTATTTTTTTAGGAGACGCAAACATGGTACAAAATTTAAAAAAATTTAAACATCCTCCACCAAAAATTCCTGGATCCATCACTGCAATATTTAAACCACTTTAATTAGTCATAGAAAACTGTTTAATACAATCACGCTGACAATAAAACATATATTTTTAAAGAGACGATAAAACATGTGTTTTTTAATTGTTATTGTAAAAAACTGTAAAACAACAATAAAAGAAAAAGTTGTCTTTAAAATATAAATAGCTTGTGTTAATGTAAAACAACTTCGTGATGCTGTTTTGTTGCTGTTTTAAACAGTTTAATAACATAAAATGCGTTTAAAATAAAACGAAGCAAATAAATGAAATTGTTTTAATAAATTAAAAAATTATCGTCAATAAATCAAAAAACATCGTCAAAAACTTAATAAAAAATTAGATTTTTAAAAACGATGTTTATTATAATTTATTGTTTCTTGAATAAAGGACTAATAAAAGTTTAAATATAATTAAGTTTTTCATTTAAATGGCTTTTAAGTTGATGTTTTTATTCAATTTCTCTATTTCAATTGTTTTCCAATAAAAAGTGAAACAAAAAAATTTGGTTTAATAAATCGAATTATACTTCATGTTTAAAATAAGGCTTAAAAACGTAAAAGTAAAAAAATTGCTGATTTTAATAACATTTTTATACTGTTTGAAAAAAAAACTAATAAAAAAGAATTAACTAATAATATATTAATTAATAATTTTTAGAATTAATAATTTTAATTAAAATAATTATTAGAATTAATTATTTTTATTAGTTTTTTTTTTCAAACAGCAAATAAAAGTCAGCAATTTTTTTGCTCTAACAATTTTAAGCCTTATTTTAAACATTTTGATAAACAAAGATGAAAACCAGGTTGTTTTGTTAGAATGAAAAAAAAACTCGAATAAACGTCTTTTCCTATTTCAACTTTTCGCTTTAACGACCTTTTAAAAATTTTCCACGCAGAGATTTAAAGTAATTTAAACTCAAAAATGTTTTACGTTGAAAGAAAATCTCCGCGCGAAAGAACAAATCATCTATTCATCTATCTATTCAGAATAACAAATTTTGTGTGACGTTCTTTAAGACAAAAACATTACTTTTAAGAATTGCTAAAAAAAATTCTAAGCTAGAAAAAAAAAAATTAAAAAAAAAAAACAACCGCAAAAAGATTTTAAGAAAAAACTAATCGCGGAAGTGTGAAAAGCAATCGCAATCGTATTAAGCGATCGCGATACGCTTAATACGAGCCCTGTAAGACTTTTTTATAAGTTCTAAACTATTAAAACTATTACTTAATAACTTTTTTTTAACGACGTCTTTGAACCGAATTTTATTATACTGTTTTTGCAAAATTAATTAAAAAATCTTGATTTGAAGCTTTAACGACTAACAATCGAGTTTCAATGGTAAAAAAATAAAATCAAAATAGAGTTGTTTTTCAGTGATTTCGGCAATTGCTTTTTGTTAGTATGCATTTATTATTACAATTTAGTGAAAAAGAAAAAAAACTTACATATTTTTTTTTTTAATGCTCTTTCATATGAGATCATATGTTAGGAGCACTTAGGGATCCCTTTAATCGACTTAAATTTCCTAGCACACCACAGGCTACACAAGATTTTACAGAAACACCGTCAAAATAAGCTGCAGCTGCATGACTCCCATTTGGCGTGAAAACTGATGTTTGATCTCGTTGCAACACAACTTTGTATTTTTTATAACGTTTTTATTATAATGATTTTAAATATATGGCTGAATGATTGCCGAATGGCATGAAACTTGAAGTCCCATAAAAAAGTCGTATTTTTTTCATTTAAATATTTAATATATATATATATATATATATATATATATATATATATATATATATATATATATATATATATATATATATATATATATATATATATATATATATATATATATATATAGCAACTGATTCAGTGTAAGAAGATGAGATTGTTGATAAGTAATAGAAACATTATTAAAAACAAAATGGCTTTTAAATGTGTTGAACAACAATCTAAAAAAATATGTACAATGATAAAAGTATTCTAAAATAGGTATGTTTTCTATATGTCAAAGCTAACTTCAACTGTAGAAAACTTAGCTTAACACAAGTTTTTTTTTTTTTTTTTTTTTTTATTTGCATTCACTAACAACAAGGCTGCAAGCAACCACTATTAAGTTGGGAGTTACTAGGAAAAAAAAGAACAGAGTTATAGAGCAAGGAAACGGTTGACAAAAGACTTGAAAAGTTGAAGGTTGTATGAGTCAGGAAAACATGAAGATGGGAGATAGTTCCAAAGGATTGATGTGCGGGGAAAAAAACTAGGTAAATAAAAATTTTTAGAGCATGCAGGGACAAATACAGTAAACGAATGAGCTGGATGACGAGTAAAACAAGAATGAATTTTAGTTGATGGAACTAGAGATGATAACTCCTTTGAGCAGTGACCATGATAGTATTTGTAGAAAAGAGAAAGAGATGCAACTTTACGACGATGGGAAAGAGGCTCAAGCTTAGGAGATAGTCCAGGTCCAACAACATTTACAATGCATTTTTGGACCTTGTCAAGAAGAGAAAGTGAATCGTTAGAAGAACCAGCCCAAATATGACAACAGTATTCCACGATAAAGAGAAGCAACCTTAGCATGTTGACCATATTACGGTAGTTGTTTGCAGTAAACAATTGGGTTTTGTTAGAGTTGAAATTCACAAGCCACTGTGAACCCCAATCTATTACTGAAGTGAGATTGGATTCAAAATCAGCTGCTTGTTCTAGGCGATCGGAAAGAGAAGACTTTTTGTCAAGACAGGAGTATAAAGTTAAGTCATCAGCAAAAAGAGCTACTTTAGATGAAAGATTGTCAGGAAGATCGTTTATGTAGATAAGAAACAAAACAGGATGGAACCTTGGGGAACCCCAGAAGTTACTGAAAATAAAGAAGAGTGTTGGCCTTCAAGGATGACTTTAATAAACCGGTTAGAAAGAAATGATTTGATAATCTCAAAAATTTTCCCAGAAATACCATATGAGGCAAGCTTATGGAGAAGACCAGCATGCCAAACTTTGTCGAAAGCTTTAGATATGTCGAGAGCAATAGCCCTAGCCTTACTACCTCCATCTAATGCACAATAAAATCTTTCAGTTACAGCAGTTAGCAAGACAATAAAATCTTTCAGTTACAGCAGTTAGCGAGAGGATTGAAAACCGTATTGATTGTCTGACAGTAGTTTATTTTAAGTGCAAAGGAAAATCCTTAATGGCTTTTGCAGTCCTATTTATAGATATCAGTATGGCATCTTTGCAAAAAGATTCATTCCATCGTCTATTTGTTGCATGGAATAATTTACTTTATCTAATTTTAAATGAACCACCATGGAACAGTCTGGGAACTTTTTGTGAAGCATGGTGTCCATTCACTTCATGTTTTTATTCATAAGCAACAATATTCATCAATGTTGATGTTGCAAAGCAGTGAGAACCTTGTCATAAAATATTTAAGGAACTCTGACAAGTTGTTGCAGTCTCCATTGATGTTTAAATGAAGAGTTGAGTTTTATTTATAACTCAACTCTTCATTTATTTATTTATAATATTTAAGTGCATTTTAGTATTTTATCCTATTTATTTTACCCACTGCATTTATTTTCTTTGTGCCTCTCAAAATTTGTTTAATAAAATTGACTGAGAAATAGCCATCAGTCAGGATGTAGGTTTATATTAGGTTTTATGTTTTTCATGTTTTTCATGTTTTTTTTTAATTCAAAGCTTTTGTAGATATTCCCTTTGGTAAAAAATCCAATACAATGGTCAGAAGCTGAACAAGTTATCATTAAATATTCCTAAATATTAATTTAAATAACTTTGCTTTATTTTTTATATAACTGATAAATATGTGCAAAAAATCAATATAACCTTAACAACATCCAACAAAAAATTACATTATTCTATATCCAATAAATGTACATATAAACTCACTGATCTAAAATCATAAATTTAAATTTATTTCTCAAATAAGACTTTATTAACAAAAATTCAAGAGTTAAAAAAAAAAAATTGTATAAAGTACATAAAAATAACACTTAACCTACTTACATAATATTTTTTGCAAGATTGTTGATTCGTGGGATTTCTGAACTCATGGGATTCCTCACGAATTCAAAAATGGTGTAAAAGAAAATATTCAAATGCAAACTTAAAAAAAAGTGAAATTATGCTTTAAATTTTCTGAACTGAAACCTTAAAATAAACATTGCAAAGCTGAGAGAACAAAAAGAGCCTGACTGGTGTTAATTCAATGCAAACTATAAAGTCATATATCAGGACCATTTTGAAAGAAGCTAAAAAACTAATGGAATTCTTATTTTATTTTCTCAACTATATAAATGAAAATCTTAGATAAATTAGTGGCATGGCCTAAACAAACTGATATTACTCTCAAAAAAGTCTGACTACCTCTAACTTAAGAAAAACATGTATTTCTTTATAAACAATAAGCTTTTCAAGACTAGACCATTTGTTTAATTAAAAAATTAGAGATTTTATAAACTGATTTGCTAAAATAAGAACTAAATTAGAACAAATTTATAAAGTTTTATTTTGAGTAAATAAATGTCATTAGCCAGTAATATTTAATTTAAGCATTCATGTCATAAACTGGATGTTCTTCTAAATATATTTTTGCCTGACAATATTTCTTGGAGACCCTGTTTTTTTAATTAAAAACAAATCAGAAAAAGTATATTCATTATTTTAGCAGTTGTGTTATATTATTAAATATATCTTAAGAAAAAAACTAATAAAAAATTTAAAATATCATGCCTAAAAATCAAAAATTTAAACTTCTAAAAAAATAATTATTGCCTTACCTTGTTCCTTTTTATTAGACCCATATGAAATACCACAACCATTTTTTTTAACTTTCTTAACTTTTGCAACTTCTAATGAAATATTATATAACCTTTCTAGTTTTTTTAATGTTTTTTTGTTTTCATTTTTAAGAAATTCAAGATGGCTAAAAAATTTCTCATCATCATCGATTAGTTTTTTAAGTTCTTCTGAATTCAGAGATTCATAAAATTTTTCTTTATCTGGCTGATAATAAGGTTTTTCTTCATCACTCTCATTTAATTTAGACAAAGAAAAGTTATTCTGATTATTCAAAGAATCCTCTACAAAACTTTCATCTTCTTTATGCAAAGATAAAACATGTTCAGATTCACCAGGCAACTTTTTGAAACATTGTTTACACACTAATTTATTGTTTTTCAAAGTATTTATTTTATCTTTACTTTCAATTTCAGTAACATTAGTACTTCCACCAAGTGAACTAAAGTCAAACAGTTTTCTTTCAAGAAAAGTAGTTGGCAATCCTGTTTGTGGGTTACGCGGTTGAAATACGCAAGAATTTCTTTGGTTTACTATGATGTGATTTGACATTTTATTTAAAGCAAAACATAAAAATCTTCAAATGCTCCTAAACTATTTTCACTGATGTTGTATTTGTAATCTATTAATAATTATATATTTAAAAAAAATATATACACATAATAAATAAAAAAAGTACTATTATATAAGACACTTAAAATAAAACATTTGATATATAAAAAGGATCATTTTTATGTTTTGTTTTTAATTAAAAATTCAAATAATAAAATGGATTATAAATGCTTTCATAAACAATAAAATGTTACCTATTTACAAATACAATTCATTCTAACAAAATATACGATACCATCTGTAAAAATATACAATACCCTCCACACAAAAAACATTTATATACACATATTATAGGTAAACGCACATAAATTATAACACATTTTAAATGTTTAACTTGCTTTTAACTGTGCAAGTAAATCTTCAATTTCTTTATCTTCATTGGAGGATACTTTTTGTTTAGAGGAACCTTTCATTGTGGTTTGTGGAGCATTTGGCATTTGTTTTGTGAATTCTATACCTATTTCATCTAAAACTTGACTGACAATAGCATCTTGTTCTTCTTCATCTCCAGATTCATCAAATAAGTTGTCTAATGTGTCATTTATCATTTCATCTGCCATGTTCATTTTTATGGATTCTTTTTCAAACTGCTGCATTGCATTAGACATAGCTTCAACATTCATTTGCTTATTCATGACTCCCATTACTTTTGTTGCTGAACCAATTGATTCGGCCATTTTTACATTTGATTGCATAGTATTCATTTGTGCTCCAATAGCAGTTACTTTTGATTTTACACCTATGTTTCTTGTTTTCTGATTTCGAATCACAATTAACTGTTTTGCTAACTGTGTTGCAAGTTGTTTGTTTCCTTGTTTAGCTGCTTTTTTAATTTCTATTTCAATCGACTTTTCTTGTCTTTCTAACTGGCTATAGTCTCGAGTGACTTCTCTCTGAGTTTTTCGAATTTCTCTATTTTGTTGCTTTAAAACTTCTTTTGGTGTTGGTTTTTTGCTGAACATTTTATTTATTTTTCCTGAATGATGATTTTTTAGTTAAATATCAAAATCAAAAATGTGCTATAAACATAAATATGAAAAAAAGAAGAAAAAAATTAACGCACACCAGCAAATATAGAATTATATAACATTATAAAATATATATAATGGTACTCACTTGAAATTTTTTAATGTTGTATAATTCTATATTAGCTTTAACTAAATAATTTTTTTTTCAATGTTTGTGTTAGATATCTACAGTTCTGGGCCGCTAGTAGACAACTATTTATGTAATAATATAAAGTTGCTGTTCTCAGCGCTTTTTTTCTCTGTCGCTGCGTTATGAAGTTGTATAGTTTTTGCGTATCTTGGAGAAGGAAGATATGATTATGGTTTAGCAATGGTTTACTCCTTTTTATTTTTAATAACAACTCAATAAAATATGTTAAATGTTGATTAGCTTTTGCGTGCTATCAACTTCAATATTTAAAAATTTAAAGTTTTAGGTTTTCTTAAAGAGCAAAATTAACTGACATTTAGTTAATTCTGAGAGAACTGACGTTAATGTTAATACTGCAAAATGTATATAAACGATTAACTTATTTAATGTAAGTTTTATTTTAAACTAAAATTCTTTCTTTTAATCATACATTCTTTTCATGAATGGATAAACCAGGTAGCCTCAGACAGCGGGTAAATCCGGACACTTGATGTACATTTGAAACTAAAAATGCTATATGATTTTAGATATTATACAAACAATATTTGAGTGAAAATATGATATATACAAAATATCTATCGCAATATACTAAAATAATTGTCTGGGAGTGCAAGATGTTGTTTCCTGCCACCAAAAGAGCTATGTGTCATTATATTTGATTTATATGCTAAATTTAGCATATAAATCAAATATAATGACACATAGCTCTTTTGGTGGCAGGAAACAACATCTTGCACTCCCAGACAATTATTTTAGTATATTGCGATAGATATTTTGTATATATCATATATTGTGTATTATATTAAATGTTTAATATCTATATAAACAAGTTGCTTATTTTTAATATGTAAACGGATTTAGTTGTCCGGAACCAACCTCCAAACATGTGTCCATTACTACCCAATCATACTTCATTTACAAATACTAGCTTTAAAACCAGTGAATTAAAGTATTAAACGAATTTTTTAAAGTAAATATTGTAAATAAAAATGTATCTTTAATCAATAAAAAGTTTTCAGTTTACATTAAAATTAGGTGTTTTATAAAACACCTAATTTTACTACCCTCATTACTACCCAATCATACTTCATTTACAAATACTAGCTTTAAAACCAGTGAATTAAAGTATTAAACGAATTTTTTAAAGTAAATATTGTAAATAAAAATGTATCTTTAATCAATAAAAAGTTTTCAGTTTACATTAAAATTAGGTGTTTTATAAAACACCTAATTTTAATGTAAACTGAAAACTTTTTATTGATTAAAGATACATTTTTATTTACAATATTTACTTTAAAAAATTCGTTTAATACTTTAATTCACTGGTTTTAAAGCTAGTATTTGTAAATGAAGTATGATTGGGTAGTAATGGACACATGTTTGGAGGTTGGTTCCGGACAACTAAATCCGTTTACATATTAAAAATAAGCAACTTGTTTATATAGATATTAAACATTTAATATAATACACAAACCCATAATATTAATTCATTTATTTCCAATACAAAGAGCCATGATTTAAAAAAAAAGTGTTTTTAAAGTGCTTATTTTCATTAGTAAAAAGCTAATGTTTATATTTCCAAATGATGACATTTTTAATCTCACTTCTGAGATTGAAAATGTCATAAGTGAGATTAAAAATATGTATTCTCTTAGATGCCTCTAAGAAAATCTCCAAAAAGTTATCCGGTATGATTTTTGGCAAACTATTTTAGTTAGTGACGCTTTTGTACTATATGGATGAAACTTGGCTTGGAACAGCTGTGGTGCAGTGGTTAGATTGCTGTTCTAAAAATCAAGAAGCCTAAAGTTTGATACCTGTTTTTGTTATATATAAACATCAAGCAGCCCGTTGCTCTTTGGTTAGCACGCTTGCCTCAGAAACTAGAGATCAGTGGTTTAACGTCACCTCTTGACAAGTTTAATAACATCGGTAAGAAAGGCAGCGTAAACTTTTTTTCAAATGTTCTTCGGCTACGCTCTGTGATAAGACCATAAGGACTTCTTGGGGCACCTAAAACAATTAGTAATAAAAGATAAACAATTTGAAAGATGGCGTCAACCTTCTCTTTACATGCTCTTCCACGTTGCTTTGTGATAAAGAAAAAAACGAGATGTAAAACTAAAATCTAGAAAAAGATAAATAAATAAAAAGGAAGTAAATATAAATTTACGCAAATAAAAATAAATAATCTATGTATTTTTTTTTACAGAACAGTGCAATTTTGAGAATGAATACATTGTAAATATTTCTTTGGAAAGTTGTTTTCTAAATAATTGGAAAATTGTTTTTTCCATCTGCTTTTTTTCTTTTACAATATTGTTATTATTATAATTTTTACAGTTATCATCAGCTTAACGTCACTCAAATTGATCAAAGATCAAATTTCTGTTTAAGTGACATCATCCTTGATAGTTATTTCCAAATTGCATTAACTATAATGATCATTTATTTTGGTATTATTGTTGTTTTTATTAATATTTTTAATAATATATTAATTTTTAATGTAATGATAGGAAAATAAACATCTCGTTGTTGTTAAATTACATCAAAAATTTTCTCTACGGTTTTATGCTTTTTTTGTTTATTATTTTTTTTTTGTGTTGTTGTTATGGTTTTATGTTGTTATGATAAAAGAACATCAAAGAAAAAAAATTTTTTATTGTTGTTTTTGATTTAATTACCGCCATTTTTAAGATTATGGGTTTAATTAAGTGTTGTTATAAATCTTTTTGATAAATAGCCACTGTGTCACAAAATGACTTTTAATTGGAACTTCTTTTTCCGAGAAAAATCTTTGGGAGTATGATAGTACAAGTATGTAGGAGTACATTAGAGTTTGTTTTGAAATCTTTCATCATCGTTTGCGAAAGAAAAATTGATTTGAATTTTTGACTCTATTGCTCTGAACAAATGAGTTACATTTTCTATTGAAAACATTTGAAACTTGTTCTAACATATTTATTGTATAAATTTTTACTTACAACAAATAAAAAAACAATTTCTTTAAAAAATTAAAAAAATTAGATTCTAGCTTAACAGATCAAGCAACCGTAAAAAAAAAGATTAATTTTGTTCAATATAGTTCTCAAAAATTGATGTTGAAAGGTAATTTCTTACATATCTTATGTCTCTACAAAGAAGTTAAAAGAATGCTTGCTGTTTTAACCAATCAAACAGTTTAGAAAATTCGTTTGAAAATTTTAGTCTGGATGACTTTTGGGCCTTTTGAACTGTTGCAGTGATGGTTGAAGTCACGATGGAGTGATTCTGTTGGGAAGCTAGAGGGAGGAACCATTGAATTTTTTAATTAAGATGCAATAGTTGTCTTGAGAAACATTTCCAACGGAGGCTTGAACAACTGCATTAAACTTTTTGAATGTATCAATGAATGGAAATGCTAAAAAAAAAGCATACTTTTTTGCAAGTTGTTGAAGCAAGTCAAATTTTCGTAAAAGCTTTCTGCATCCATTGCCGGCAAATTGCTCTCCGTGAAAATGTTGTTGTTGAAATTTCACCATATTTGCCCACCCTGGTGCATTTTTTCACTGCAGACAAAGACTATCAAAATGGTGGTTAACAACACCAAGAAGCAAGTGAAGTTCTATGGGTGGAATAAAGTCCAAAATAAGTGTTAGTCCAGATAACTTTATAACTGACGTATGCACATCATTAGCTTTTTTGTTTGGGCAGCTGTTGCTTGAAAGCCTGTATAATCAGTTTGAATGGAGCTAAATGTTCGGAGCTCAACACTCTGATGAAGATTCTTTGACTCAATGTCACACCAGGTACAAGATTGAAAACTTGATTGAGACTGCAAACCACAAATAATGTTTGCAAGCTTCATGTTATATGACAACACAAAAGGCAATCTCTCAAGGCTCAATTTTTCTATGATATGCTTTACATTGTCATAATTTCAAAGTTGTTTTCCTGCGATAGCCACCAGAAGTTGATGCTTCATTGCTGCTTCCTTGAAGAAAGGTTTCTTAGTCGGATTTCCTATTCCTATTTCTGCTGCTTTTATGCCTTTTTCTTCAACTTCAGGCAAGTTCTGTCAATGCAATCCTTTTATACAATTATGAGGAATCTCTTTTCCAATCAGTGAAAACATGCCAAACAACCTTTACAACCTAAACAACTGGCTATTCTTTCGGCTGACTAGTTGTGTTTGTTATTCCAATCTTCTGAGGGCTTCTAAACTTGGCTTTTTTCACATAACAAATTATGCAATCACATGGTGATTCTCTTGATACAGGAAAAATTTTTATGTTTTGGTAGTCAGGCAGTGAGGGAAGCTGAAAATCTTCACCTGTCTCTTTTTCTGAGGCTAACTCCACAGTTTTTGCAGATATTAATTGGGATTCCTCAAAGTTGATAGCTTGACAAAAAACTTCTTGACAACGTTTAATCATAAAGTCAGTGAGTTGCCTGTTAGCTTTTTTTAAACAGAAAATTTTTCTGTTTTCATCATGAGTTTTTTCTTGATTTGACGTATTAAATAGTTTTGCACTTGTATTTTGCCCAAAAGGCACAATGAAACTGTTTGCAAGCCTTTCCCGGAATTTTAAAATCAATAAAGGCCAAAGGAATTATCTGTTAAACAAGTTGCTTATCTTTGTTAGTTACTAATGTGACAAAAATTACAACTTTTATGTAAAAAAAAATTTATTTCATTTGATTAATAATCTTGTAAATGGGCCAAAAAATTGACTTGATCAATTTCAAAAATGAATTAGTCAATTTTAGCCGACTTTAGAAAACTTAATAGTCGATTCAGCCAACAGTCGAATTATTAGTCGCAACAACACTAGTTTTTTGAACTAAAATAAATTGCACATTTCAAACTACTATGTTTTGCTTTTTTTTAAATATTATTTAGGTGCTCCAAGAAGTCCATACGGTTTTATCACAGATCACCGCGGATGGGCATTTATTCGAAAGTTTACGCCTCCTTCCAAACCGATGTCGCAAAACTTGCCCAGAGGTAGAATTTGAACCACGGATCCTTTGTTGTGGTGCAGCCGTGGCGCAGTGGTTAGAGTTCCGGCTCAGAACCCGGAG